ATCCCACAGGCCAAGAATAAACTTGGCCTGGCCTGTACTGACATGTTTGGGCTTGGGGCAGCCAGCAGCCACCCTGCCTGGTGGAGCCTCAGCCCCAGGGAGGGCCTGAGGGCCAGGGCCTAGCCATTGGAAGCTCAGGGAGGCTACTCACACTGCCGGCTTCTGGCACAGGTGCCATGAAGCTGAAACTGGCTCGTGTGAGAGGCCAGGCCTGCTCTGCTCTATGCAGGCTATGCCCACCACCTAAGTTAGTGGAGGGCAGGGGCAGCAGGGAGGAGGGTGGTGGCAGTGGGGCTCCCCTCCCTGGGTTTAGGCCCCGGCTCTATGCCAGGTGAGCTAAGAGAACTTGGGTCACTTGACCGCTCTGGGCTCAGGTTCCTTGTCTAAAAATGTCCTTAGTTGGTACCAGAAGGTTGCTGAGGCTTTCCTAGTTCTCATCATAGACACCAGTGTCCAGCCTGGCCACCCAAGCCCAGCAGAGACAGGGAGAGGCTGCTTACCCGCTCCACAAGGCCCTGCTTGTGCTTCAGCTTGTACACTTTCAGTCTGGGCAGGAAGCTCTCAGTGTAGTTCTTGTCCTCCAGCCCGTGGAGCAGGACACCGTGGAAGGCCAGCCGGCACGTGTTGGCGTGAATGTCCGTATCCAGCCTGGAGCCGATCACCAGGCACAGCCGAGGGCAGGTAACAGGCTTCTCAAACTCCATGAGGGCCCACTGCTGCCGGGGGCAGCGGCCTCCTGGGGCCTGGGCCTCCTTCTTGTCGGCCTCACCGCTGTCTGTCACTGCAGGTGCCAAGTCCCTGCACAGGTACTGCTCCTGGAAGAGGTATTCTCGAGAAAAGTCAAAGGAGTCCAGCACTGGCTCGAGGTCAAAGCAGTCGGGGGCAGGGCTGAAGAACATCAACCGGCCCATGACTGTCTCGTGGCCCACCGTGATGTGGAACTTGGCCTTGGTCTGCAGGGACCCCCGGAAATACGGGATCTTCTCCACGGAGATGAGGGCTGCATGGACTGTGTGCAGAGACTCAGGGGCACATACCAGGCCACGCTCCAGCAGCCTGGGGTCGAACTGGGTGACACAGATGCCCAGCCGGTCTCCCTGCATGGCTGAGGTGACAGGCATGTGGAACATCTGCATGGACTTGACCTTCTTCACCACCTGGTCAGGAGCAAGAGAGGAAGCCATGAAACCAACAAGCCTTGAGGCTGGGGGGAGGGGCTCCAGCTGGAGAACTCCCTGTCCCAGTGCTGCCAAAACTCACCTAGCCCTGAGCTTTCTGCAGGTCAGATGCCCCTGGACAGAGAAGGCTCCACCCATAAACACTCCCGGGTCCACAAGGCACCCGAGTCTGGGAGGTGGGCAGCGGCCACAGCAGCCGCACTGACCCTACCTCAGTTCCCTCTGTCTTTCCAGGGCCTGCTCCCCACCAGGCTCCATTCTGGCACTTCCTTGCCTCAAGCCCTCTGAATAGGTTTGCCACCCCATGCAGAATGGTCCCCCAGTTCTGCAGCCTGCAGAGCCATGCCCAGGCCCAATGCCACTGTTCTAGGATGTCTGCCCAGACCCACGATGGCCAGGATTTGTCCTTCTCTCCCTGGAGCTCCGGCAGCCCCCCTGAACAAACACAATGCCCGCCTAGTCTGTGCCCAGCTGCTGGCTAGCCTGTGGGCATCTCTGGAGTGGGGCCACACTTCACTCATCAGACAGAGTCCCCGTGGGCCTACTGTAGGCCAGGCACTGTTCTAGGGGTAGGGACAGAGTGGGCCCTGTATTTGAAAAGCTTCATATCCAGAAACAACAACAAAATTACAAATACATTAACTGAATACATGTTAATCTATGTAAAATTTCATGTGTGTAAATACACATAACTAATATAATTATATACAGTTGACCCTTAGAAAACATGGGGGGCTAGAGTCAAAAACCCCATGCAGAGGGGAGCCAAGATGGCGGCGTGAGCAGAGCAGTGGAAATCTCCTCCCAAAAACACATAGAGCTATGAAAATATAACAAAGAAAAAATCTTCCTAAAATAGAGCCCAAAGGACACAGGACAACATCCAGACCACATCCACACCTGCAAGAACCCAGCGCCTTGCGAAGGGGGTAAGATACAAGCCCCAGCCCAGCGGGACCTGAGCGCCCATCCCCCCGGCTCCCGGCGGGTAGAAAGAAACCGGAGCGGTTTTTTTTTGGCGAGTGCTTTTTGGAAGCCTTAAAAGGACAGGGACCCCGTTGCTAGGGAGGCAGGGTGGCGGAACCGGTGAGCGGGTGCCTGGGACCGGCACTTGAGGACGGAGGAAATCGCGCGTTTTTCCCTTTTTTTTCTCTTTTTGGCGAGTGCTTTTTGGAAGCCTTAAAGGGACAGGGACCCTGGTGCTAGGGAGGAAGGGTGGCGGGACTGGTGAGCGGGTGCTTGGGACTGGCACCTGAGGACAAAGAATATCCCG